TAATTTGACTTTTTTTTTTTAACCCTTAGGAGTGGTGGGAGTAAGTTCAATTCTACCCTTGCAGGCAGTGTGTGTAGATTCAATTCAACAGCTATTTATTTTATTTTATTTTTATTTTTTAACTATTATATTATTTATGGCATACAATGATCTAATCTTAAGAGATCCAATCATGGCGCATACCTCACTCGGCGTATTTCATATTCGAGTTCGAGTCACAGGGAGGGGAATTGAAGAACCAGTATTAATCCTCCTGTTAAAAAAACAAAAAAAAGATCCAATCATGAAGAGTTGGGATCTTTCAAATAATTCCAACTTAATTGTGGAAGATGGGTTTGAGGTTCCCAGGCCCAAATAGTATCACCTGTCAAATCATCCCAACCCAACATGGGGGCCCGCATTCTGAGCCTGTATCTAATTCATGAAAGGCCCACTCATGAGTAGTTCGCTTGTCCCTTACCGCGCTAATAAAACAAATAAATTACATCAAAACATAAAATAATAATAATAATAATAATAATAATAATAATAATATAATAATAATAAATAATAATAATATTTTTTTTTTTTAAAAAAAAAGGCTTGTTCCAGGGTTTTATGCAGTTTAATACATCATAATTTATTGAATGGATAACCTTTTTTCAATGATTTCAAACTAATAGTTACACAAAATTGATGAAGTTCATGAGTGCCCATATATATTGAAATAAATGAACAATAGTACTATCTCATATTTTTTTAAATGTCATTTTGGTTTCAGCAACTATTAACCAAATAAATGTCGTTTTAGATCTTTTTTACATATTTTTCCATTATCACCCTCATTTAGTTAATAAATACATCACGCATTTTCATATTCACTCTCTATTTTTTATTTTATTTTTTCAAAATATTCATCTTTATCTTCATTAACTAATAGCATTGTCGAAAGTGTTGGGGAATCACAGGGTGGTCCATGGTGTATATGGTCCATGCAATATGGTCAGTAACTTACAAAAATCCAGAAAAAACGAACAATTTGAGGGACACATTAATTAGGACAACCCTTTCACACTCATCAGCAAAATCATGATTAACCCCTCTTTCCCGCTTGTCTCCACTCACATGATAATAGTACATTTTTATTTTATTTTATTTTATTTTTACTTTTTACCCTCTTCAATTCAAATGCTAGTATCAAACAATCCTCCCTATATATAATTCCCGAATGCGCTGAGCCTACGTGGCTGCTTCTGGTGCTTCGGAATCCTATTTGGCGAAGAATCATGCTTTGTAATTAGGTTTGGATGAATAATATTGATATATTAATAATTAATCATCTAGGTTCGGGTATTCCATAAATATTATTTAGCTAACTTAGGTATTTTAATATCACTTTTACTAATATAACCCTTTAATTTTTTGTAATTTTACATAGTGAGGCACTAAGTGACTAATATATCCCTGAATTTTGATTTGTTTCCTTCAATAAGCTATTGATTATAAATGTATTTTAAAAGTTGATAACTTTTGTATTTTTTATCGGTTTTACATATATAATATATCAAATTAATCATCTTTTGATGATCTTCGATTTGACATCCATATTGTATATATAAAATAAATAAATTATATTTATCTTTATAATAATAAAAAATAATAATATTTATTAAAATTCATTAGAAAAATAAAATTATTTCTCAATTGATATATTTATATGTAATGTAGTTATATATTGTAAGTTAAAAAAATTAGCATAATATAACACAAGTAAGTCGCACAAATAAGAAGTATCATAATAAATAGTTAAATACTACCTCCTATTTTTAATATATGTCGTTTTGAGAAGTTACACACTAATTAAGAATATTCTTTTTGTCAATAATAACCTTATTTAATGAAGATAGAGATAAATGTTTTGAGAAAAAGTGAAGAATGAATATGAAAAGACGTAATGTATTTATTGGCTAAATGAGGATAATAAGGAAAAATATGGACTAAAGATCTAAAACGACATTTATTTGACAAATAGTTGAAAATGCTAGAATGACATTTTAAAAAAATAGGAGGGAGTATATAATAATATATATATTCTTATGAAAGATATTTAAATTTTCAAACTACTTTTTTCTTATTAATTTTAGATTTTAAGAAAAAAAATTAGCAAGCACCCGTGTAATACACGGGTGTTGTGCTAGTTACCACATTAAAACTAATCATTTCTTGCCGGGATTAATCGTGATTAATTAGTTTTGTGTCGGATAAATTAGTTGTTCGGACCAAATTTGTCGATCCAAAATTTGAACATTCGTGTTAGGTCACTGTCCCGCAATGCGAATTACTAAAATGTCCAATAATTTTTGGCAGAATAAATAATATAAATCGAGCACAATATGCCAAAAAAACATAAAACTTTCAGACTAAATATCTAAAATAACACACTAGTACAATACACATTTACGATTTTGTTTTTTTAATAACACACTAGTACAATACTTATATACTACGTGTACACGGGTAATTGTTTAGGAAATTATTTTTAGAATTGAATAAAAATAACAATGATTGTTTAAAATTAAATATATGTATTTATTAGGTTAATTTGAGATTTTCATAAAAATTAATTATCCGATTGAGAGTTTCCAAAATAAATCAAGGTTATATTATTCAATCAGTTTAATTACCAAAGGTTCTCATACAACATAGGGGTTATTTAGAATAATACTATCTCTTATTTTAAATAGATGTCGTTTTAGGATGTTGCACATCTATTAAAAATATTTTTTTTGTCAATATAACCTTATTTAATGAAGATAGAGATGAATGTTTTGAAAAAAAGATGAAGAGTGATTATGAAAAGATGTGATGTATTTATTAGCAAAATGAGGGAATAATGGAAAAATATGTACAAAAGATCCAAAATGACATTTATTTAGCAAATAGTTGATAAAACTAGAATGACATTTAAAAAAAATAGGAGGGAGTATTATTTTATTATTCATTCCAAACTACGAAACATGTTTTTTCGTCAAATAAGATTCAAAAGCGTGCGAGGTTGCCACTAAAGCTCAGCGCATTCTAAAATTATATATAGAAATGATTTATGCATATATGTGAACAAAATCACAAATTGTTGTGTGATGCTGTCTAATTATTAGACGAATCGCACAATCATATGCGAGACTAATGATTAGACGGTCTAACAAAAGACTTACTACTCGTGAGAAAATGTCACTGTTAATTAAAATCATCATATGGCTGTTGTAACTGTTTTGGGAAGAGGTAGAAGAATAGATTGTGATAGACAGTAACATTTCTCAACTAAAAAGCAACAAAAATGAGGTAGAAAGTAATTGTTGCTTTGCACATATCTTATTCTCAGTTCTAAGGAACTCTCACGGTCGTATGCAGGAGAAACATATATAGAAAAAAGCAGACAGATTTTAAATCTAAGCAACAAATGTAGTCAACATGGCATTGAAAAATAAATAAATAATCTTTCCGGACCCGGCCGATGAGGTTCGACAGTGGCTGTTCCATGATATTAGTGGA